TATATCGTTTAATTTTCGATAGTCTATCACGACTCTCCATTTCTGTTTACCAGAAGCGTCTTGTTTCTTGGGAACTACCCAGATTGGGCTACTCCACGGTGAAGTACTAGGACGTATGATGTTTTCATTTAACATTTTGTCGACCTGAGACTTAACTTCTTGTTGGTGCACGTAAGGAAATCGGTATGTTTTTGTGTTAATAGGTGTTTCTGATGTAGTAGGGATGGTGTGTTTAGTATGATTCGTGAATGTAAGTTTATCACCCTCGGTATAGAAGATGTCGGCGTAATTATATACTATTTTGTTAAGGGATTCACATTCTTCGAGATTTAAATGGTCGCGTCTAATTAGTTTATCTACTTTCTCGTAATAATTTATATGTTGATCGTTTGTGTTCATAGAGTTGATTTGAAAACTATCTTCAGACTCGATATAAGGTGTTAAATCAGGAATAGTCGGAGTGGAAATATATTTATCTTCGTCGCTAGAATTTACGCATGTTATTAGAAAGTTATTATTATTTACGGTAATAAGCGCGTTGGGAATAGTAAGATGTTCGCCTATTGTTTGTTTTTCAAGAATGGCGGTACCATTTGGGATTGTGTTACTGTAGCAGACAATCACGGTTTCGGATCGTTTTGGTAAAAGTTGTTGATCAGAATTTTGATTATTGAATTCTTCGCATAAAAAAAAGAGTTTGTATGAGATATCGCGAACTCGCATGGTTTTCGATTGGACATATATATTAACGTTAAATTTTAACATAAAATCGTTGCCTAAAATTCCGTCTGCGGCAATATTTAAATCGGCGATATGGAATTTGTGTTTAGAAAATCGGTCGAGAGATATTTCGGATGTGCCGTAAGTTTGAATTGAAGATTTAGTATTCGAGACACCTATTATAGACACTTTGTTTTTAGGGTCTATTGAATTGTTACCTATTTTGTTTTTTCGAATAACAGAAATGGCTGCGCCTGTATCAATTAACAATACCAATGGTTGTCCATCGACATGGAATCTACAATGTAATAGATTTTCAGGAGGTACATTTAGCGATTGAATTTTGTATGATTCAGTGATTGGCTTTTGTATTGAGTTAGAAATTTCGAGTTTTCGTTTTGGTCTTAGTTTCGATTTGGTACGTGAGTTAGAAAACTTCGTATAAATAGTACATTTAGGAGGTTTAATTGATTTGGTAGATTTAATACAGTTAAAAGATTCAGTGAGTTTGGTAGATTCAGCGGATATAGTAGATTTGATAGATTCAGCGGAATTAGTAGATTTGGTAGATTCAGCGGATTTAGTAGATTTGGTAGATTCAGTGGATTTAGTGGGAAAACCGAGAGTTTGGGGTTGAGTACCCTGTTCGTGGGTTTTGGTTAAACTAATTGTTTGGGCGGATCCTTCGGTTTGAACGTATGCATCTTTAAATTGTCTCCGATAGACTGGTTTAGTATTTAGAGATGCGTTTTGTCCTAACATATTATTTTGATAGTTTTTTAGAGTTGGAGATTGTCGAGATTTTCGGCTAAGGAAGTCTCTGGGCAAATTGCGATTTCCGACGAGCTGCCCATCTCGTTGGTCGCCTTGAAGTTTAAATTATTGACGTTTGATGTTGGTGCTGGAAGAGCTAATTGATTTTTATTTCTAAGATTATTATTATAAGCTCTCTTACGACATTCAGTTATTAAATGACCCGGGTTTTTACAGTAGTTACATATTTTAGAGCCTTCGTGCGCTGTGTTAGAAAAATTACTAGAAATCGATAGTTGATGTTGTGGATTTGTTACGGGACGATTAGTTTGAAAGTTAGTGCGAAACTGAGGTTTGCTTGAAATGTATGAGGGACGCGGGATATTTAATTTGAACAATGATTGACGGGCGTTATTCATAGCCCTGATTTTGTCTTCTTGGAGAGCAAAACGTCCTGTCTCCGAAAGATTGTTGAAACCTTTAGTCCTTAACATTGTACCGATGTCAGAGCTGAGTCCATTGATAAAAACGTTTAAGGCTGTTTCCTCGGTGGTAGCAAGGCGTCCTAACAAAGTGTCGTCGAGTATTTCGGTGTTTAATTTCTCTATGATTTTACTACGACAAAGTTCAACCCGGTGGTAATATTCTGTTAACGTCTCGTTTGGCTTTTGAAACATCGATTGAAGTTCGAGGTTAAGGTGTGCTAGGGTTTTTGTTTGTGAGAATTTTTGTATCAAAAATGATTTTAATTCCGTCCAGTTTGTAAACTGTTTGGCGTGAACGTCTGCAGAATAGGCACCCGTTATTTTATTTAGGGCATAAATTAAAATTATGTTTTCTTGAGCTATACTTGCTAAATTAAATGCGGCATCACATGAACGTATGTATCGATATATTTCATTATTTTGTCTAGTATCGAATTCTGGGATTAGTTGGAGGAGAGTAGCAATGGGCATTTCTATTGTTTTACTGTCCAAAGAAGCTGCGGGGGACTTTGACATTTTGTGTGTTTTTGACATAGAATAATAAAATAATGCGAAAATAGAATAAAATTATGAATATAGTATAGGAAATAGTATGGAGATAGAAAGAATTTGGAAACGGGATATGATATAGGTAAGAGCAAAAGTTTTAACCACTCACCACAACAATATAATACAGATCGCGCTTCTCATGGTGCTGGTTCGGCAAAGTAAGTTAAAAGCCTTCGGCTACCGTGTTTCTTCACTCGGCGATTTTTGTCCTTCGAAGTTTACACGTTCCTTTGTCTTCAATGCACTATGCACACGATCCTACCGACTGCGCCAAATTTGTTATATGGTCAGTTATAAAACTTTTATAAAAATAATTATTTATTTCTTACTTAACAATTACTTATTAAAACTAGATATTGAAGTTAACACTATGACATGGTAAGAATAAATGTAATGATTAAACATTGTTCGGACTATTATATAGATGGTTTTTGGAATAGTGGGAGGCACAAATAGAATCGTTTGTCGAATGACTTATTGTTAACTTAATTATGAGATACAATATTTTTGAGAATTAGAGGAGTGGTAAACAAGTGATTAGAATATGGAAACAATAACAAGATAATTTATCTATACAGGAACATAACATTAGGGGCGACAAATAACATTAGGAATGACGAATAATACTAGGAAGAACAAATACAACTTAAAAATAGTAACATGAGATCTTGATATAACATTATATACTAGAGTGAGAATTCTTATGTACTATGGTTCTTATATATTAGAGTTGTCTTATATATAGTAGGTATTATATAACACCTCCCCTCTTAGAATAAAGATTGGGCGTTAGCGTCCGATCTTTGGGTGGTGTTTGAGGCGTCGTCTTCGTCTTCGGAGATGCAGGATGTTCTAACTGGAAACGGAGGATCTGTTGTTCTCATCGGGATGTTATGAACATGTGTTATTCGTCGTCGCGAGGATGAACCGAGGCAATTGTTGAAAATTTGAATGCAACTATTTTCTCCATGGTTGTGTCTTTGGTGGCGTTGAATATATTTTTTGAAAAGTATATATAACATCAATAAAATCATAGAAGTTCCGGTTATAATGGAGAACCAGGAAAATCCGTTCTGATTTCTTTCAATAAATGGCTTGTTTTTAAATTTTTGGATTTCTTCGTGATGGTTGTCTAATTGATGTTTGATATTATTGAGGGAGTCCAAAGGAATTTCATTTAGAGAAATAGGAAGTAAGTTTGGTACTTCGGTCTTTTTGTTTTCTTCAATGCAGTCCTGAATGTTAAGATCAGGGATGATGATTGGGGACGTAATGTTTTCTTTTTTTGTTTTATGTGCTGAAAGCGTGCTGTATCCAGTGTGAAGTTTGCAGTTTTCTTTTAATGTGATTATGCCGGATCCTTGGATGAGATGGTGGGATACTTCGTTGTCACATTGGAGGACGCATGGCGTTGAGTTTGTTAGGATGAAGAGCCATCTGTTATCATTTAACGACTGGAACGTATTTATCTGTGCGACAAATGTAGAACTTGTGCAGGTGCTTGGGATCTTCTTTGAAATGGTGAAAAGAGCTTGGAGTTCGCATATTGGACGTGTATCGGCGTCATAAACGATGAGGTCATTGCAAACGATTCTTTTCTCGGTGAAGGTCTTGCAATTGTCTAGCGAGCTCGTTGAAATGTATGTTTGACCGCTGGGGTTTGTGGCTAGAAACTTATGCTCTGGTAGGATGGTTGTATAAAGAGAGGAATTGGGATGTTGGATAGGAGTTGAATATATATGATATAGTTTTAGGGGTTCGGATTTTACGAGTGGGAAATCT